AATCTTGACCCTGAGTTCAAAAAAATTGCAATAAAACTTTACTACTGCTAAGCCATCAAATTGCTGTGAAATAGGACAAGTTGGAATATTCAGCTTTTATTTGACAAAAATCCATGGAAATGACATTTAGGTCCCTGAGAGCAAATGAAGTTCACCGTTGCCACTATCAGTTCAAATTACAAGATAAATTAAAATATTTTCTGCCAAGTGCTACTGATGATATGATGGATAATCATCGGCTTTAGACACTTTACATTTTCACAAGGTTTGAAAATACATCCAAGTAAGCGTTTTTCTGCTCCACATACCAGCATCAGCTACAACACAGTTGTAATACATCTTACCAGATTCCACTTTAGGTTGTACTGAATTTCTCTTCTCCCAATTTCTTTAAAAATATTCTTGCCTATAGTTGTTCCATGCAGGCCATTCAGAGACACTAACTTTTTGACACAGTAAAGCATGGCAATGCAGCAATACACATGGCACTTGAATGCTGTCAAGTTCTAATTGCATCACTGCAACTTGTAGTGCACCAAGCAGTAGCACAAAGTGATGAGAGTCATATACTGTCTCTGTTGGAGTTACTCAACTCTGGCATTGTAGTGTAGTGAAGTCAGCCATATTAAACAAATAAGCATGGCTAATAAAACTTTATTTTTGGACACAGAAATTTAAATCTCATATATTTTTCATGTATTATATTATTCCCCTTCTGATTTGTTTTCAAACAATTAAAAAACGTAAAAACCATTCTTAGCTCATGGGCCACATTAAAACAGGTAGTAGGGGGCTGAATTTGATACAGAGGCTGTAGTTTGTCTATCCCTGCAATAAACCTTTGTTCTGCTGCACGCTATAATTTCTCAAATTTGTTTTTAATTCTTTTATATTTCTAAGGATTACTACTATCCTTCTCTGTTTTTAGTTTTAAAAATATTCTAAATATCACCTTGAAGATTTCCTTAAATTATCCCTCGTCCCACTTTACCCAGTTAGCAATTCTAGCAATTAACTAAAAATATGAAAACAACAACTCTCCATAAAAGATTCTTCTTTCTTTACTTGTAACCAATTAAATGTCACTGTCAAGTTTTACAGTATTCCCTAGAAGGTCTAAACATTTGTTTAATTTGTTCTAAATGGTATCTGGCAGAACACCAGGCACTTTTTAAAAGGCAATAAAATGGTTAGGAAAATGTGTTAACATCCAATATAAAGTATACTGAAATTTTTTACAACAATCCATCTCCTTATATATGATAATGACTGGTAGTTGAGTTTGGTAAAGTGCCCTGTGTTCATGGTGAAGTATATTACCTCAAACTCACTACTAAAAAAAAAAAAAGCTGTTACAGGTTACTCCTATCCTCACTCATACCATCACTCTAATAATGTTCCTACTATAGTTTTCAAACAAATTTGGAGAAAGGAATTTTTCTAAATAACCAATTATAGCATTATAGGTTGAATATCCCTTATCCAAAACACTTGGGACCAGAAGTGTTTCTGATTGTTGAATATTTGCATTATACTTACTGGTTGGGCGTCCCTAATCTGAAAGTCCAAAATCTGAACTGTTCCAATGAGCATTTCCTTTGAACATCGTGTAGGTGCACAAAAAGTTTTGCACTTTGGAACATTTCAGATTTTTTGATTAAGGATGCTCAACCTATATATCTTAGTTCAATGGTCTCTTTCATCACCCTCGTTTTTACTCTGAGAGGAACAGAGAACTGTTTGAAAATATACTTCCCTCTTTCTCTTTTTTGGTTAAAAGACATATTCAAAACATTTATAAAATAATACCACAAGCATCTTCCTCAAAAAATTAAAAAGCTAACAATCAAATTAAATCACCCTAATACAGATGACTGTAGTTCTCTAACACTTTTTAAAACTCTTCATAGGGATGACAGATATTCAGAATTTACCTATTTATTTCCTGGGATATTGTATGCTCTATCCCATCAGACAGAAATCTAGCCTAAGTGATTTTCAGTGGAGGAAAAGTTATTCCGAAAATTGATAGGGGGTGAAGGGAGGCATTTTGGGTTGTCACAATTATTGGGGAGGGGTTGCTATTGGCATTTACTGGACAACAGCCAGGAAAGCAACACATCCTGCAATGAAAGTGACAGTCTCACACAAAAAAGATTTCCCCAGGTCTTGTATGACTTTCAAATGCTCTAAGAGATACTTATGTACGTGAAAAACCTTTTTGTAATGATGTGAGTCTAGAACTGAATTCCATTTAGCTATACAAAATCCCTGTTTTAGTTTCAATATACACTAAATTTCCCAGGAAACTAAGTTATACTCTGTTTTGTTCATAATATTATAAATAGTACACTATTTCAGAATACCATCTCATCAACAGAAATGCCACTCATGGTATTTGAGTGGCCAGTGTATCTGTGTCAGTCTGCATTTGCAGCTGTTATATATCTAATGATTCTACAAATAAGTGGTAAGCATCTACCTACTTCATTGTGGTTTCTAGTGTATTCATGCTCAAGCATACTAAAATATGCATTACATTATCAAGCATGTTCTTTTTATTACTCATTTATATCACAGTTGAGAATGACACTGTGTTTGAAAGGTAATGTGAGATCTTCAAAAAGATCAATATTTAACTTGACAAACCTAATACCAAAAAATTAGGGGTGGGTTTATAGGATATCTCTGAGATAAGGTACAAACCAAATGCTTTTTCATTTGGCCTTACTAACTGATACTATGAGTGATCCCCTGGAGAGAGAAATGAAATTGGGAAAAGACCAAAAGCAAACAAAAAAGGCCATAATATAGAGGCTCATATATTTGTCAAAGTTTCCCTTTGAGTTAGTCTTGGACTAGAATATTGTTTGTATACAAAGGTGCAACAAAATATAAATTTCTTTGAGCCAATTGTTATTGCCTCTATGATACCAAGAAATTCCAAGGTTCCGAGCAATAAGTTGGGCTGGAAATCAGTAATAGTAACAAAACAACAAAACATGAATTTTAAGGATAGTGGGACAACAAAGAAAAAAAATAAATGTTCGATCTGATTTTGTAAACACTGAAATAGTTTTTTATAAATCTAACGCTATCTCTCTCCCTCTATTAAAAAAACCCTCAAGCCATGCTCTTTCCTGCTGCATGCCCTTCCCCTCCTTTAAATATTAAATTTCTAATCCTCCACTAATGTTCAAAGGTTTTCCTCGATAAAGCCTCTGCTGACATGTAGAGTAAGTCAAGTACCTTGTTATATAGTCT